GGCCTTTGCCATCTTCACAGTTGTTATATTTCAGTGTGCTGTTGCAGTCACCGTGTCAGTCCATCTGCATATGACTTACACAGATTTAAATATTTTAATACTTAGAAAAGTTGGAACAAAAGCCAGTTTGAATTGATTAACATTCTGAATTAAAGATTACATTTTTAACGAATCAATTACTAATTTTCTTGTAAGTATTGTAACTGAAACTGGGCTAAAAAAGACTGATAGCAGTTTAATATCTGATACGTCCTCTATCCGAGGACAATATATTAAATGGATTTTTGGAGCAGGGAGATGGAATAGGAGCTTGCTCTGTCCACTCCACGCATCGACCTGGTATTGCAGTACTTCCAGGAACGGTGCACCCCCTCGGGGGATAAAAAAAAAAAAAAAAGAAAAAAAAAGAGACTGATAGCTATTTTTAAGGAGCTTCCTAAAAGACACTATAAGAACAATATGTGTAAATAAGTTATGATGAGCAAATTAGATTTTAAAGTAAAAAAATGATATTCAAATAATGAACTACTACAGTTCCTTTACATATTTTCATAATGTTTTTTTAGAAAGTAGTGCAAAACTAAACTTTAGCACCAAACTTAACATACATTTCAAATTAGTAGGTATTATTAAAGAATGATATTTTCCTTTATTCATTTTATCTGAACAGTACCTGCCTGAATAAGAATGCTTTTGGTATAAATTATAAGGTATTAAAACTGGTGTTATAAGTTCTTAGAGTAAGAAAGCATCTTTCAAGTCTTAGTCTGGCATCTCACCTAACTCAGGGATTCCATTGACAGCAGCCTTGGAAATTTGTCATTCAGTGTCTTAAAGTCTAGCAATGATTTTATTTCTAGGTATATTTAGGGCATCCACAAAAACCCACAAACTTCATGAATTGAAGAGGGAGCTAGCTTCTAGAATCAGCAGATTAATTTGGTTTGTAAAATTGAGAGGCCTGAATGGAATATGTGAAAGTTGAATCCGAGGTGTTCTTCAGGTAGCAAAAGTGTAAGCATTCGCTCTTGGGAGCAACATGCACACAAGGTTAATGTTTGAGATGAAAATCAGTAGTGTTTTACTCCAGGCAGATGCATGGAAAACATTGGCCTTAAAACTCCCAATGAATCGAGAGTGAACCCTCCTCTTGATTTGTAAATGTTATCTTAGATCTTTGTCTCTTTCAGAACAGATATCATCTGTTCTTCCATTCTTTGCTTAGAATCATTTTTAGAGAAATAAAATTTTCTTGATTTTTTTCAATCTCTTCAGATTTACAGCGATGCCTCTTTTGCTAACTATATATGACATTTAGTTGGAAAGGTGTTAACAATTTAAAACCTATCTTATAAGAACAGAGTAGAATAGAGCTTTTAATGTAATGACTTTTTAATTACCGGATACCAGACTGGAATATATTTACTAAACTTTTTTAAAAAGTCATTTTATTAGGGGCTCATACTTTTACTAAACTTTTATAAGGATAACTTTTCCTTTAATAGACACTTATTAATCCAGTTACTGTCTCTAAATTTATTCTGGATTTCATATTCAGAAAATCATGCAAAACCCAAACAGGAAGCAAACAAACAGAAAACCCAACAACAATGACCAGACGAAACATAGGAAAACCTCAGTTGACAAGAAAGCAGAAAATATTAAAACCTGAAAAAAACCTTACAGTGGGTCCAAAGGAAGATCAAATTATGAGATATTTTAACCTAACTACGTCTGCCATAATTGCCTTTACAGTGCTCGCTGTCGAATATCAAGGCTATTCACCTCCCTGGACTATGGTTAAAGGGGATTGAGTCACTGGAGGTTTAACCATATGTGTACCTGCAAATGGATTGTAAATAGTAAAGTCCAGTAAAGGAGGGAATGCTGTCAGAGCTGAAATTGTGCACACCCAGTTTTCAGAAGGCTATGGACACTTTTTAAAATGTAGTAATAAACAGGTTTCAAGTGTAAATTTTATTGTGTTTAATAATAACTTCCTTTGACAATGTCCATAATTTCAGAGTAAGAATATAATTCTCTGCATCATAATATTTTTTGGGTCACACAGGAGGACTGGGCAAAATGTAGAAATTTAGTATGGATTTTTTTTCCCATTTGAGACTATTTTAGAGGACATAACAAGTCAATCTAAATTTTATTCTATTTTGCTCTTTAGACATTTCTGAGACTGTATTTTTTATATGGGGACTGCTCTTGGGGTGTTCAAGGGTATTAGAACTATCATCATCAACAACAACCCTAGTGTAAAAGGTTCCTGAGACATAAGATTCTGCCCAGACCCAAGCTTAATTTTTGGTTTTAGAGAGCATTGAAGATATTTTGGGTTTGACCTCCAATTTGCCTTGTGTGAGGATTCGGAATCAAATGGCTTTAATGCCAAGTTTTTGGCCAAAGGTTAGGATGAGTTCTGACACGATAACAAGTGCAATCCGGTTGCTGTTGAGTTGATTCTGACTCATGGAGGTCTCGTGTATGTCAGAATAGAAGTATGCTCCATAGGGTTTTCAGTGGCTGATGTTTTTCTGAAGTAGATTGCCATGCCTTTTCTTCTGAGGTGTCTGTCTCTGGATAGACTGAATCCCCAGGCTTAGCAGCCGAGTATATTAAGCATTAGTACCATCCCACAACTCCTCTGATAACGTGAGGTGTCTAAGGTATGAACTTGAGCTGCTTCCACTCTTTATTATCTTTGTTTTCTCTTTCACCAGCTCCATGTTACAGTTTTTTTTTGCTGTACATCAGAGCTTTCGTTTTTTTTCTCATATTTGGAATGTATGTTTTAAGGATGTTTTTTGCATGCATAAGTAAAAAGCAGTACCTATTCTCTATTTCTGACTGGCATATTAGATTATTTAAGAATAAATAGGTGGTTTTATGAGCTCATATTTATAATTCCTTTTGGAGCCATCTATGTTTCATTTGGAAATATGTTTGATTTCCAAGTGCTTGGATTATTTTTAAATCTTTTATTGTTATAACAGCAGTTTTTAATTTACCTGCATTGTTATCAGAGAATACATTTTGAATAATTTTAATCCTTTTAAGTTCCTGGAGACTTCCTTTATGATGTGTAGCATATTGCTTATCTTGAGGAATATACCTCGCATTGAAAAGAATGTATGAGGAGGCCTTACAAAAAATGTAATTGAAAGATTGAATTTTTCCATGATTTTTTTGAAGCCTCCTCTTACATCATTTTGAGTATTTTATAAATATCAATTCAGTCTGGACAGTATCTTTGCTAATTTTATAGCCAATTATTTTGTTAATTTTTGAGAGAGGATTGTTAAAAACATCTAGGATGGGTGAAATTTCTATTAGTGTCCATTTTTTCTTTATATATTTTGTTTGCTGTTATTAGACACATACACATTTAAAGTGTTTGCGTTTTCCTGATAATTTTTTTTTTTAAAAGACTAGTCAAGTGCAGTTGCAAGGATGGGGGTAGACGAAGAAGTCAACCTGTAATTGTGAGCAATCCTTGAGAAATCTCACCACCCTCAGACCAGCTTTGACATTTTTTCTTTCATTATTGAATGTTCTTTTTTATCCTTACTGATCTTTCTCTTTCAGTGTATTTTATCTGATAGCAATAGACACTTTAGTTTCTAACTTTTCTGTTTGCATATTCTTATCTTTTCCTATCCTTTTACTTATTTACGTATCCACTATATTATTTAAATACATCTTGTGCAGACAGCATGTAGTTGAATCTCATTATTTAATTTATTCTGATAACCACTTCGTTTTAGTGTACCTTGATAATTTAATGTTAATATTGATGTGATTGTCTTCGTTTTATGTACTTCTTCCCATTTCTTTCTTATCTTGGGTTTATTTAGATATCTTTTAGAATTGCACTTCAATTTACCTATTGATTTACTAGATATTCCTCTTTGCATTACCTAACCCCCTATTTCAGGGTTTACAATACACATTTTTTACACAATTACAGATGTTTCTTCCATTTAATGTAAGTGGTAGAAACCTTACCATTTACTTGCCCCCACCCCCACTGCCATCATTTATACTAATATTGTCATGTGTGTTTATTTTACATAAATTATAAAACTCTCAGGACAATGTAA